AACTTAAACTTGTTAGCACATATCCTTTTGAATAGAATGAGGTTCATTTCTGAAATGTGAGCATTCAAAGGTTGAATTACTAGAATGCAAAATTCCTCAAAACAAAAAAAATGGAAGAATCGTGACTAATTCCAATCACCATCTAAATGTGGCGCGATAGATTGTGAAATGGATTTGGAAGCATGCCTTTACGTACCTAGATACGGCCGGTATGTTATTGGGTCCTAGCGCGCAAATTAAATGTGCAAGACAACTGCAAGAATATAATAGACATGATTCTTATTGCTTTGGACCATTTAAGATTTTGATCTTTTATCCGATTCCTATTTGATAAGATCAATCTATCTATGCCTCAATTTCAAAAAGTAATTCGCCTACCCCTACCAATGGTTAAAAGTGTACAAACAGGTTTGACAAACCTCTATCAAGTTTAATGGAGTATGACAAATGAAATCAGGATAGAATAACTAAAACAAACAATTCTGCAGCTAGCGAAGTGTGTTTAGGCTGAGGTAAGGCTCCCAGAAGAGTTGAATTTCCCGGAAGAAGATGAAGAAGATTCACCCGACGAAGTAAATATTAGTTCTCCAAAGTGAGTAAATAACTCTTTCTTCCCTTTGCTTTGGTTGTGTTTGACCGCTTAGCTAATAGTAATAGTTAGAGCGGGTATCAGTCTAAAAGCGAACGAGCTAACTAATATATAAATATATAGAGCTGAGCGCGAGTAAGCAAGAACTTAATTACGTCCGGGAGTCTTCCTCTTTTTTCTTTTTCTTTTGCGTTTAACTTAGTAAAATATAGCCTATTTAGGATAGGACATAACGGTTTGATTTAATTTCAAACTAATAATGTTTTCGTGGTTAGTTAACCTCTAACATTTCATTAGTTATGGATTTAATATTAGTGCAGAAAAACAAAAATATAAAGAAATACTAGTTCCTCGAACTTATTCGCAACTAGTGGCGAATTGTTATATTTATGTATCGACCCTAAGGAAGTTTAGTATATCCAAAGAACTTTTCGACTACCTTGTGCGCATACGCTTATAAACTCACTAAAATTCCTCTTAGGAATCAACGTGGGACAAAGTCCCAAATTCATACTGAACACAACCTAATTGTTGAGCAGATTACCTCATTATATAAAGTATTTTTTTTCCACAAATACTGTAGTAAAGAAGAGGTCCTGTGGTAAGGGACGAAAGGTGTTTTCTGTTCCCCTGAGCCGAGGGATGCTCGTGGGACTTGGGTGAGGGTGTCCTACGACGACACAAGGCAATGAAAGGTTGCTCGCTTTAAATTAAATAGCTGACATGAAACATTTTCCGTGAATTTCTCTATAAGAAAATAGATTGTGGGCTTAATTGATCAACCTCAAACGTTAACTTATGAGATGACTGTATTGGGAAAAAACTGAATTTAAATATTGAAGATGACGTGTCATGACACGTGGACCGGTCAAATAGTCAAAGCGTGGTAATCAGTTAGAAGGCACGAGCAACAACAGATGCGGGAGAGAAGATACTTAAAGGCACGAGCTATTATTCAAATGAAACGAGACTCGTACCTGTTCGAGTCATTTAAAGTCCGAAGATCAGAAGGAATTGAAGAATCTGATAGCGAAAAAGAGTCCAAATTCAGCATTAAATGCCAAATACGTTAGAGAATTTGTATTTAATATGAATGATTGAGTAACGTTTCTTTCAATGTCATTTATTGCTCGTAATTGCCTCATTAAGACAAAGGCATTACACTTTCTCTAAAAATTAACTATAAAAAGAGAAAGTCACAACATCTGTAGGGGACAAGAAAATATTACGGGAATAAACTTTGTTCTTTTTGCTTTCTGATTATATCATTCAAAATTTCTTTCTTATATACTTTTCCGATTATCAGTAACCCGAGTTCTTCTAAATTCAAGCTTTGACCTAAAATCTAATTTTTGGTTAAACAATGACGATTGTCCAAAATCTTACAAGAAGTCGGAGACCAAATAACCCTTTAAAGGTTCTTTGATGGTGACATAATAGACATGCAGGCAATTCCCACAATAGACTTGCAAACTTTTCTTGACCAAGATACGGTCTGAGCTAGAGTTGTCTGTTTCATTTGGTCCTAGAAATGTGCGAGACAACTGCAATATAATTGATCCTTCTTTGAAATATTTGAACCTTTCCAGATATTGTCTGATTCTTAGATATGACTTTGGACCACCCCCTCCTTTGAACTGATCCTCCTTGACTCACTATTTCTTTAATTAGCTCCAAAAGCCTTGCCTCTTTTTTTTTTCTCACTATATATATATATATATATATATATATATATATATATATATATAAAGGAGAGAAGACAAAAGGAGAGAAATATGCATCAAACAAAAAGGTCAACCCCTATCTGGATCTAATTCTGATTAGGACACTTGTTCGGTTTCTATATATTTTTTGGTGTTATATGCTTTTATGTGATATACTTCCTTAATACAGTAGAAAGCTGAAACGGCTAAATTCGACGCCGCTTTCAGTCGACATCTTTTTAGCAAATAATGGCAGCAATCAAATTGATATGCGATTATAGCAAATGTAAACCCGATGGTGGAGTGATAAGTATTCCTCCATCTTTGACCAGAAGATATGAGTTCGAATTATAAGGATTAAGTCGCTTTTGATAGGGAGCACTTTACACCCAATATGAGACTTTCTAACGCGAATTCAGATTAGTCGGCCCTAAAGTAGATACCGGACAACGGGTGAAAAATAAATAAATGAAAATAAACCCAACACCACGCCATTGCCACAGCTTTGACATAGGCAAATACAAATTTATATGTCAGTTGGCAATCCAGTGTACAAAGCATTCTGCGTTCAAGCAAGGTCCGAGAAACGCCGCATCCAAGGGGCATAATGTAGGTAGCCTACCTTCCTACGCAAGCGTCAGTGACTGATTTCACGGCTCGAACTCGTGACTTTTAGATAACGCGGAGACAACTTTACCGTTATTTATGTGTCAGTTAATATAAAATGACGCTGCGTCTGCTCTAACCTTGTAGAAGTGGGCGTGAAATTAGAAATATACGTTCTTTAAAATAGTTTCTACTATATATATACGGTTCAAGTTGAAAGTGGATAACGGCCATACCTGCTATCCAAATACTACATTTTTCAATGGGCAGCGATAATTGTCACCCCAAGATTGAAAGAGTTATGGAGAACATTTCTCACGATCCCGACATTTCCCCTTGGTCTAAAAATTCAAAGCATCCTCTAAAGTTGGCACTAGTGCTCAACTATTGCACTTAGGACAGCAATTTTCTTTATTGAACTGGACAAAAATATAAGAATCTGGTAAAAAAAATATTCATTCCATTTCCATGTTCACGAATTTTGTGTACGAAAAGTTTAAAAAAAAAAAAAAAAAAGAAGTAGAACTCATTGCTGCTTTCATTTTCGATGTTATCACTCGCATATGATATGATTAAAACACAACAGTAGCAGACCTTTCGTCCTTTCTTGTCCTTCATTTGGACCTGATAAAACACAAGATGCTGTTTTGTCAATTTCACAAATGACCCTCTTTTTGTTATTTGGCCACTTACTTTTCTTTAGTCGCTGTTCAAGTTGTCATTCTTAGGTCACAGCATAGAGTAACTTTAATCAGGAGTGGCAAGACGCAGAATGAAGTAATCAAGAAGGAAGCACAACATGACTTCCCAAATCCAAGTTAAGGAGAATCTGCTTTCTTATCACAACTTAAGATGGAAAGAAAAGCATACTTCGATTGAACGCGGAGTTTAAACCAGTCTTTGACATGCAAGTCAAACATCTACAACATAGCAAAATTATCCTTTTAGATGAGTGGTGGTGAGAGTTTCACATGTCTTTTCATTTAAATAAGCGGTGAGGCTCCCAACCAAATCATGTCATTAAGGGTAAAATGGAGATACGACAATGTATTGTTCTCTTTGGAAAAAAATAGGAAGGGAAGTGAGAGATAAATTGGGACATAGAAAGTACTATTAGTAGTAGTAGAAAGCACAAGAATTTCTTTAAATTTAAGTTTCACATTTTACACTTTATCTCTCAAAGGTACCTATCTGCTTCTGGTACACAGAGGGGTTGAAAAGATGGGTTTAAGGGTGAGAACAGCTGTTTGCACTACTGCCAAATCATGTACATCAATCAATAAGCATCACAATCCAAAAAGTATTTTGGCTGCCAAAAAAGAAAAGGTAAGGAAATGTCCCCAAATAAGCTGTTTTCTATTCGACTACACGACAAGTTAGGAAAGTGAAGCATCTTATACTCATCCAAATATCAACATGGTTTTAGTCAGTCAGTACTGTAGAGAACTTTCATGGACATTAATTTGACTTTCGTTGTTTAAACTAATCCCAATGTCCACTAAGCTCTAAATCTAGCACAAATCAAGTGTGTCCAGTGGTGCCTGGGCAGGAGTTGCAGTCTCCTGGAGAGTAGCAAGGAAGAGTTGACGGGGGGTGGGGTACATCAGTAGAATGGCAGCTGAGAGAGAAAGAACGAAAAGAAGAAACAGTAAAGAAGGATTATATAAGGAACTCTTTTCTTGGACCTCGATTAAACAGATACAATAGATCCTAATGCAGAGGGTTAAAACAGCAAGAGTAGAAAAAAAGGGGGTGGCGGTTGAAGGTGTAATGTGCCAAAGGGACTGAGATTTTAGTAATTCAGTTGTACTCTCTCAATTTCATTTTATACCTCTTATTTCTTTTTTAGTTTGTGTTCAAGAAAGAATGCCAGCTTTCTATACTGGAAACTCTTCAACTTTAAACTTCTCATTTACCCTTATTACATGCTCTTATGACCATAGAAATGTCATGGTATATTTAAAACCATATGTTCTGAAGGCAATTGGTATGTGCCAAAAGTCCTTTCTTTTCTTTCTTAGACTCCGCGCCTGAAACAAAGGGAATTTTTTTATTTTTTTATTTTTTATAAATTCAATTGTCCTTTACCTTTGACAAACAAATAAAGCAGAAAATGAGCACCTAATTGATAGTGAAAGTTGGAACAAGCAACCAGCCAGGGAGAAGATATGTACAAAGACAAATCCTCTTGAGCTTTGCTTATACAAAAGCATACGATATTTTTCTTGCCTAATTACCACTTCAGATTTCTCTGCCATAAGAAAACATGAAAAGTTATATGTAGACCTGTTCTCAGTTTCTACTCATGATGATGCATTCCTTCTGCCAGAGCCATAGGCATAAAAATTAGGCCCTTATTCTCCAGCAGTTGAGTTGCCATTGAGGGATTCACTTCCAGCAACTTGCGCAATGTCTCTTCCAGAGGTTCAATCAGTTGTTCATCAAGAATGTAATGTCCACAACCCTGCAAATCAGTCAGAAACTATTACGTTCTCCAAAAATTAGTTTTTGTATGAAGAAAGAGTCCAAAAGTTTGATTAGTAATGTAATTGTATATATTGGAATCACGAATGGTACCTCAACGAATAAAAATGGGATAGAAGAAGGTTCACCTCCCAATCTGCTCCTTGTGAGATCCTGCACAGTCAGGATTGAGTTAATTACAGAATGCTGTTAAGGAAATAAAAAACTACAATGGTTCTTGATGACCTGAAAGATGATACAAAGTAAAGAAAAGAAGTAAAAAGGCAGCTATTCGTCCGTGATACATCAAGATTAATAGCACCAACATTAACATGAAGATCGATCACTTTGAGGCACAAAAATAGGTCACCAGTTAAACCATTATCCAAATAATTGAACTACTGATACTGACACAGTAAGAAACCATAGCTCCTGAGGAAAAAACTGTAAACTTATAAATATACTAAAACTATTCTAGAGAATGTACAACTATACAAGAAACCACACTCTATACAGGCTTATATATCTATGAGCAACAAGTATAGCATTAAATAAGAATCATTATTTTATGTTTGCTTAAAAAACAAAGCAATTTAGGAGCCTAATATGTTCAAAGCTAAATGAGAAGGATGATGATGGTGGAGTTTAAGGTCTATATAATTCTTTGGAATGATCTTCCAAAGAGGATTTGGCTGGAAAATGAATATAGTATGCACAACAGTGTTCCAGTCGAAGGAAAGTTATAGGCTAGCAGTATGTCTTCGGTTCCATACTAACTGGACAGGCACTTTTTTTTTTTTTTACACAGTATTCCAGTAGAAGGAAAGTTATGGGCTAGCACTATGGCTTCGATTCCATACTTACTGGACAGGCACAGTTTTTTTTTTTTTTCTGCTTTGCTCTAGGTCTTCTTTTTTTTTTTTTTTTTTTTTTTTTTTTTGCTCTAGGCTCTAAACGGCCTAGGTTGATGGTTACTGGAGACAAGCCAATTCTTCCTTTTTCAAATGGTTGAACAATTGAGCTAGACTTGCTATGCATCCGGTTTACCGGGTTAACTGGTTGTTTCCTCCTTTCTTAGCTTGAGTTTGTAATGTCAAACAAAAAGAAGCTCCCTTAAACACATCATCACACAATCACGTTCAGCAATATTGATCTTAATTCATCTTCTTTGAAGAAAATTGAGGGATTCACGGTAATAGAAGGCTTCAAGCTCTTATAGCCAAAATTTTCTAGTAATATTAGGAGTGGCATAAGCACTACATGGTGTGGCTGTTTGGTGCTTAGTTTGCAATTTTGCGTATGGCTCAATTAGTTAAAATCCTTGTAGGCAGAGAAGCAGTATCAAAGTCAAACACACAACAAAATTATTGTTGCACTAATATGTTTAAAAAGCCAAATCAGAAAATGTTCAGGCATTCGGATGGTTCATCGCTTTAAGAACAGGAAAGTTCTTTGTCCACAGTGTATGCAGATGAGCTTATTTTATTCGAAGGACATTAAATAAGAACATCTATGTACCTTTATCTGGAACTGCAGATTTTTGATGTGGTCGATAACTTCATCCATCAGAGATGCTCTTCCACCCTGCAAAACCACAACTTATCAATTCTTTAATTCATTGTAGCAATCATGCCATTCCTTTTTTGGTCTTTTAGTTTATAAGCATGGAGAAAATTGGCATGAAACCAGAACATAAAACTACTGCTTCACCCATTCCTTAGGGAGCAGAAGACCCTATAATGCATAGATGATTCCAGTAACTAATTCTTTGTATTCTCCTACTTTCTGTGTGAAAAGCTTCACGTGCACAGCTTTTAAAAGATCTGAATATCCAGCATTTTGAATATCTATGCAATATACATAAAGGTCAAATGCCAAAAGGATGTGTTACCTGTTTAGAGCATGGAAACAATTCTTGGAATGCGTCTATTCGTTCAGCAATTCTCATCTTGCGACGCTGAATAGAAAACCAGCTACAATTAGGTATCAGCTAAATGATATTTTGATGAAGTAAATTAGATTCATTAAAGGGCATCAAGAAGATGCAAAGAGTACAAAAGAGATAGGATAATTAGCTCCATTTACAAAAGCCTATGCTACTATCAGGGAGCTAATGAAATCCACAAAAGTATCGGCACTATTAACAGGGGTGAGATAGTTCCAGCTAAATAAGTTAACTAAACACGCAGCCTTCGAGGGAGTAGAGTGGAGTTGATATGCCATCAAAACATCTTCGGTTCCTTTCTTTCCAAATACACCAAAAAATTGCAGCCGACACCATTTTCCAGATTTTTCTGATGGATTTGTCAACTCTCCAAAAATACCAACTTTCAAAAGCTTGCTTTGTTGATTGTGGTATAACCCATTTCAGACCAAAGATAGTGTAGAAGAAGTTCCAAATTTCTTTTGCGACTAAGCAGTGGAGGAATAGGTGGTTTACACTTTCTGACCATTGTTGGCACATGTAGCATCTATTAACTAGTGTGATGTTCCTCTTGATTAAGTTGTCTTGAGTGAGACAGGCCCCATTTAGAGACAACCATGTGAAGCAAGTCACCTTGGTAGGCACTTTAGGTCTCCAGATGTGTATCCATCGCCAGTTATCTATTATTGGATTCTGGTCACAGAGGTGAATGTATCCTTCTTTGACTGTGTACTTGCCTTTCTTAGAATTTCCCCAGATAAGTTTGTCAGGCTGTTGATCTTCGATGTCGTGACCTTCTAGGGAGCTTAACATTGCGAGTAGGCTGTTGACCTCCCAATCCTGCAAATTTCTTCTGAAAAGTGGGCACCAAGTGCCATTGTCTCTATTTTGAGCAACAGTGGAGTCTTTGTTCAAGGCAATTTGATACATACTGGGAAACATGTCTCTCAAAGGTGTATTTTCGCACCATCTATCCTTCCAAAACTTAATACGAGTTCCATTCCCAACTTTGAAAGTTGCATTTTGGAAGAATTCATCCCAGTGGTTGCTGATGTTCTTCCACAGACCAACTCCATGAGGTGTGTTTGTTTTCGTGGAACACCAGTGGTTGTTTGCTCCATATTTAGCAACTATGATGTCCTTCCATAGCCTAGATTCCTCCTGTCCATATCTCCAGAGCCATTTAAAGAGCATAGCTTTGTTGTGTGCTTGTAGATCCCTGATGCCCAAGTCTCCTTTGAATTTTGGTTGTGTTACCTTGAGCCATTTCACTAGTGGAAATTTGTGTGTTTTGCTGCATCCTTCCCATAAGATCTTCCTTCTGAGTTTGTCCATCTGCTTTAGGACTGAGATTGGAATTGGGAACAAAGACATGTGGTATGTGGGAAGACTGTCCAATACACTATTGATTAAAGTTAACCTACCACCCATGGAGAGGTATTGCATTTGCCAAGTCGCAAGCCTCTTTTCAAACTTCTTAGGACTCCATTCCAAACTTCTCAGCTAAATGATATTACAATTTGATTACTGTAAAGCTTAAGCTTCACCAAAATTATGACAATCTCGTAAATGCAACGGTAGGAGCAGAAAATTTTCTTTGCGGGGTAGAGTCTGGGACTATCAGCCGTACAAACTTATTAATTCTGATCATATATTCTGTATGCTAGGAATTATATACAACATACTGTAGAGCACATTCAGACATTTATAACAACAACAACAAACCCAGTGTAGTCCCGCAAGTAGGGTATGGCGAGAGTAGAGTGTACCCAGACCTTACCCCTGCCTTTAAAAGGCAAAGAGACTGTTTCCAGTAGACCCTCGGCTCAGACATTTACAATGTAGGGGAATTACTTTGACCTCTCCTTTAGTACTGCTAAATTAACCGGACTTCCCTTCTAGTTTGAGAAATACCAAGGACTTCTTCTCGGCTTTGATGTTTCATTACGAAGACCTCCCTTGCCGTTAACGTCCATTAGTAAGAACGTTTAACAGCTATATCAGCTCAAACATCAGGTCTGTTGTAATTTTACCTTCAAACTAATGTAGGAAAAGATTCACTTCAGACCATTCTCCCAACCACCAAGCTCTACCCTCACAACCTCTCCCCTGCCTAGCTGGGCTAGCCCTTCTCCTAACTAACCCCTACCCCCCCCCCCCCAATCACACTGCTCCTTGCTGTCCCCTACCCATACATATACATATTGTGTTACATGTGTAACATAGCAGGATGATAGCTTCAAAATTGCAACTGCTGGTTTATGCTGTTTGTCAGTGGATGTCAAATTAATTCATCCCAAACTATTAAGAAAATAAAGAAAAAGTCATAATTAGAGAGAGTATCTAAACTTCCAAGTAAAGACTCTGTAGTACAAAATGGGATACACGTTTTGACAAATAAATATTCCATAAACAAATGCTGAAGCTCAATATTGCATTACCCCCGCCATGCAAAGTACTAACTGTTAATTACAACTCATGATGACTAAATTTGTCTGTTTACTAATGGAAAGAGCCTTAGAAAAGTTGCACCAACTATTACAAAAAACCTAGAGAACACATCTTGATATTTCTAGATGACCTGATAATCATGAATATTTACAAATAACAAAGAGCCAGTAATATTTGTACTAGTCTTTAAAGGTGGTTGGATAGGCACAGTCAGTATATAAAATCTGCAAGAAAATAATCAATCCCCGATCAGACAATGCATACAGCAAGAGAGGATTGAAGGATTTAGGCTTACTCGATCAGACAATGCAGCCCTTGCTTTTCTAGAACTTTTGGAAGGATACGATGATCCAGCAGCTAATGCTTCAGAGCAAGGTCCAGAAGCATGCCTGACATCTCCTGTTGGCTCCCATGTCTGCCGTCCAAAGATCAAAGGTCATGAAATAGTCACATTTCTTTTCTTTTTTTCTCCTTCAACTTTGAAGTACAGATTGAAAATAATCTCAACATTACCAAGGCACCAACTTGATGTTCTGAGCCAATTAAAAAGTCGAGTGGAACCCCTTCATAATAAGGACTCGGATATCTTATCTACAGAAAAGTTAAAATTCCAACTCTCTCATTAGAGATGAATTTAAACAGTTACCACAGTGATGCAAGGAATCTTGACTTGCTAACAGAACATAGTACCCCAAACTCTAATCTCATATCTGGTAAACCAGTTGATTGTCAGTTTTATTGGCTAAGCATGCAGATAAATGGCCATACCTCCTGCGCTATCATGTCAGCAGAGCCATCAACTAGTCTGAAACCAGAAGCTTCTGCGGAAGCATCAACTTGAACCTCAGAGACCACATTCTCTGCAAGATATTCAACATAATTTTGTGGTGTTTGCTGGTTATGGATCCATTGAGGTGAAGGCACAGGAAGATAATGGATCCCATCAATTCCAACTCCTGCCATGTACTGCTTGTTAAGTTCAGGGCCCGCTAGATAATAAGAATCATTTGTACTTCCAAGAAATCCCCATTGTGCTTCTAGGGCATTTGGCTGATTCTGCTCTTCCATGATACCAAAGATCAGACTGCTAACTCAAAGCAAAACAGAGATTGTTAAATCGGAAAAACATAATCTTCCCGATAAACATGAAGTCAAATTGCATATTAAAGAGGGCAGAAGATTTTAGTAGTTAATATAAGTATCTGTTCTACCCCAAAAAAAAAAGAGGGCAGTAAGATCTCACAATGATATAGGAGGCGGATCCAGGATTTGAACTTTATGGATTTGAGTTCGAAATTCTACAGCAATCCACTTGATTTTAGTAGTTAATATAAGTATCTGTTCTACCCAAAAAAAAAAAAAAAGAGGGCAGTAAGATATCACAATGATATAGGAGGCGGATCCAGGATTTGAACTTTATGGATTTGAGTTCGAAATTCTACAGCAATCCACTTGATTTACTGGGTTCGAAATCAATTATTTGTACTTATTTTAGTGATTTTTTTAACACGTATGCACGGTCCGAGCAAAAGCTACTAGGTTAGGATGAATCTATATCTTACTCTCTACATCATCCCACAACTTCAACTAGAATAAACATTCATTTTCAAATGAAGAGCCACATTTAAGAAAAGTCCAATTCAATCAACAAATATAAGGACTTTACAAAAACGAGCTTAAGCTTTTGCATTTCCTTTTCTTCTATAAAGTTTAAGGAATGTGCAACAGAACAAATGCTCAACATTGAAATCTTAAGATCATAAGTTAATACTAACAAATTGGCGTGATCATTGAAAATACAACACAATAGATTTTGGTGGTTAAATATAACTATCCAAATTGTTAATGCCTTTTTCTTTCCTACTAACTGAGAAATCTTCGAGGGCCAGTAGCTCATGGTATGAGACTCAATGGATTATGGGCCCACTCCTTACCCTTCTCCACTTAAATATCACACTTTTATCATGAAAGGGCTCGATCGCATGATGTGCATCTAATCCACACATCACTCGTTGCGCTCTTACCACTAGACCAAAGCCCCACGCTGTGGGCTAATCATTCTCCTTTTTTAATTTATTTTGCTCCCTCCCCAGGGGCCAATAGTTGTTTTTGCAACTTCCCCCCGCTTGGCAACTCGACTCAACCTCTTGGAGGGAAGTGGAGTATTGTTCCACTTAAGATACAGAGTAATTAAATATACCTCTTATAAACGTAACAGATTACATTTCCAATTTTCATTTCTCAGCTCGAAATTCGCCTTTCAACAGTGTACAACCTCTTAGTAACCACAAAATTCAAACAAAGAAAAAAATTAGAGCATAAAAATGGTGTCACGAATCTACAAATACAAATAGAGGGCTTAGATGTAGACAACTAATTTAATCAGACTAGTTTCAGTGTTAAGTGTATGAGCATTGACAAGAAAAACACCAAACGAATCAACATGCATAAAACCAGATAAACGTGATCGATGACATGAAAAAAAAAAGAGTTTCACATAAAAGAAAATCACCACCTAAATCGAAGAGTGTGAAGAAAAGTTGTACCTGAATTTTCGTATAGAGATGCTGAATGGTGAAAAGAGTATGGAGTATGTATGAAATAAAAGAGGCAAACAGAAGATTCTACACTAGGGTTCGTTGGGCTGCTAGCTAACATGCGCTCTATGTAACTGGTACGTACACATCCATGTAGCTAGCAGAGTATCAGTCTGCACTATCGCCTGGCAAAAGTCGTGCTCAAGCTAGGCAAAATTAACTTTTTTTCCCAAAAAAAAAAAAAAGGGGAAAAAATAGCTAGGAAGAGAGAGAAAGGAAAAATTGGCAAGACTGATAGTTTTAGCCATTAATTTTAAAAAAGAACTATGGCTTTTTATATATAAAACTCTAAACTTTTTTTTTGAAGGAAAAACTCTTTAATTTTAAAATTTATGTTAAGAAACTAACCTCAAAGTAACAATACAAAACAATAAAATAGACAAGAGATATAGAGGGGAAAGAGAGGAGAGATTTTTATTTCTTCCATGTATTCAAGTGTGTACAAATACCCAAACCCTCTATTTATAGGATGATATTTAGGTAATACAAAAGGATGCCATGAATATGGTATTAACTATTGAGATCATGGGGGGAGATCATGGAGGAGGTTACGGAGGTATGGGAGTTACAACCATAATGGTAAGAAGTAGTGGGAGGTTAATGGAGAACAGTAGTGGGCATAACTTCTTAAGGAGTTATAGATATCCACTATATAATATAATGTTTCATAACACTCTCCTTGGATGTCTATAGATAATGTGCCTCGTTAAAACCTTGCTAAGAAAAAATCCTGCCGGAAAAAATCTTAGTGAAGGAAAAAGAGTACACATATCTTGTAATACGTATTGTTTGCTGCCTCGTTAAGAACCTTGCTAGGAAAATCCAGTGGGATAAAACCTCGGCTAAGGAAAAAAGAGTGCAGCGCGTATTTTACTCCCCCTGATGAAATATCACTTTACTTTTCGGAAATGACACATTCCAATCCTGTATACCAACTTCTCAAATGCTGGGGTTGATAATGATTCATTGAACAGATCCATCAAATTATCAATCAAATAATTTGTTGATCGAACATCTATATCACCAATCTGTCGAAGATCATGTCTGAAAAGAACTTTTGTGAAATGTGCTTTATTTTGTCGCTCTCAATATATCCTTCTTCCAATTGAGATAAGCAAGCAACATTGTCTTCGATATTATTGAAGTCTTCTTTATCAAAGAAAATCACACATTTGTTATGTGTTGAGTTACTTGCTTTATAAGTTGCTAATATTTTGGCATGACTTAAATCAATAGTTGATAGCCTTCGTAGAATATCATAATATGACAGTACCCTCACATGCAAATAGATTGTTTAAAGAACGAACTCTTGCATTTGCATAATCAACAAAACCTTGGAATATTTGTTAGAATAAACTAATCTATATCAAGGATTCCTTTTGCAATATAATACTAATCGTATTCCAATATCTCCACATAGGAGTAAAACTATATCTCGCTAGCATATTTTTATCTCCATGGTTCTAGCAAGATACATAAGTGTATCAGTTGCACTAGACACAAAAACAAATCATGTACGCCATGATTGATCTAATCCACAAAAGAATTTGATGAAGATTTATTTAATAAATTTTTTGGGAACCTTAATATGATTCAGAACAGTTTAAATCCTTTAATGATTTTTATATACGCATATCAAAATTTTCAGGTATTGCCAGACTAAAATCTGAAAGCAACTGCATTCACCACAAGAGAACATGTTTCCATATAATCAATGCCAGGACATTTACGAAAAATTTTGTGTCACCCCACTGGCTTTATACTTTCACGCTTTGGGATTATCAGTCCAAAACTTCACATTTTCCAAGTGATGTCAATCTTGATTGCATATTTTTGGTTGACCAGTCATTTATCTGTCCATACTATATGACAGATTTGAGCTCAAGATCCTCATCAATATTAATAAAATTGAGCGTTATACGAACAATATCGTTGACAATCATTTGATATCGGTTCCATCATCACTCAATAAAGACATAACTTATCGAGATCTCATTAGTTTCAGGTACCTGAGCCTCTCATTGAGGTCTTATTAAGTGTTATGTCGTGGTGCTCTTGTAGAGCACTTGCCTTCTTATGATGACCATCTTAAACATTTGCTCCTCTCCTTCTTCAAGGAGTTTTATCTTTGGAACCGATTAGTATATTACGCTTCATGCGTTCCATAGACTACGTCCATCATGGATTTTATTCTATTTGGAGCATTTAGCAGCTGATAGCATTTAGCTTTGGGTCAGCAAATGTCACTGGCAATATTTTGCAAATGAATTATCACTTGAATCAAGTTCACATTTTCTTGTACGAGGATCTAGATGTACTCATAATAATTCATTCCACGTATCACTTTTTCAGCTGCCCATTTTCTTCCCCTAATGTTAGGATCACCAACACATTTTTCAACCTTCTTTGAGAACCCATCTTTGTGCACTGTGGTGCTATAATAAAATCATATAGCACATCCATATTTCTAGATGAAAACTATTTGGTTCTTGACCTTGAACCAATTGTGATAGGGAAAAATTATCATAACTTGTTGCCTAGATGCGTACAAGTGTTGCTGTATATTAATAATACATCTCATACCAAAATTCTATTTGAGAGTTCTGTTCTCATAATCAATGGTTTAGCTATAATTGGAGGCATACAATTTTTGCTAAACCAACTTGGATTTAAACCAGCATTATCAAGATAAATTATCATAATTTATATTATGGAATTGTGCTCTAATAATTTGAGCAAACAACCCTGTAAAAACTAAACTGCAAGTTGATAACAGACGCACATGTGATCATATAATAGATGCATCTATTAAAATCATATAATAGTAAACGATCCACATGGCAGGTGACTGGGCACAGATATATATCACCTTTTATTCGTTTCAGAAATCAAGTGATTCAATCGCAATCTTAGCTGGTATATCAGGAGAATAAGCAGTACAAGAGAATTCTTGAAGAATCTTCTATTTCTTCAATATATGCCAATGTGAATTCTCAATCAATTTTTCGCATCATACTTGAACCGGGATGGCCAACCAGTCATGCCAACTAATATTTGTTTCAGTAAACCTCTAGTTTACTCGTGGCATGTGATTGCATCATCATGCTTATACTTGTATAGTATAAATAGAAGAAAAGTCGGGTAATCTTTCATATTTACCCGGTATGTTTATAGTAGTATGAGGATATTCATTCTTTCTTTTATTTATAGTCTCAATATGCCAATCACTTTGGCTAATACATTTGAAACTCAAAAAGTTTCGTTTGAGACTTGATACAATATCAAAGTCATGAAAAATTTCATTCATCCGGGTAGTAACAAATTAGTTCTCCTGGGCTCTTAATTGATTTTTGTACTACAAGATCTTTTGTCACACCTTCCATATGGTGAACATTTCCTTTACGGAGAAAGTCATAAAAATAATTGTCATGGTTAAAATCATCACAAGCCAAAATATTTCTTGCTTTAACTTTTCCTTTAATAACCTTTTATAAGACGCGACAAAATATTTTTGGCGTATTACATGCGGGACCAATGGCATATTCAAGTAACCACACAATAATGTTCATTATGTTTCTTTATCTCAAACCTCCTGTAGAGGTGAGTTGTAGTATTTATTCAATCATACATAAGCACATTCTTATGCATAATTTGTATCACAATATTTCCACATTCACTTTCAGGAATGAGTCTGCATTTATAATGCTTATCACAAGTCGCATTCTTTTAAAAATGGGCTATAATCGTCTGAACGTGCCTCATATTTACAGACCATATTGATACACATTTCCTTCACCTTTGAAGGATTATTTTGAGAATCATTATTGTTCTCATTTTTACAATTGCCATAATGATGACTATTATTATTTTGGTCTTTGGAAAGCCCACATTCATTAGTCAACCACTTGTCTTCATTTAGATTTATTATGCACCGCTATCACATTCACTTCAAGAATTGAGCAAATAAAGTGGGACTAGCTTCATGCTTTTTCATGAAAAATACATTTATTTTTCTTTAATCATCATTATATCATCAATATGGTGCATTGGGACTCAAACCCAATGTCTTACCCATATAACGTCATGTTAGGCCATTTGAGTTGTCGCTCAAACCCAACTCTTATAATCACGGTGCACCGGGACTCACACCGATGCCTTATCCTCATGGTGCTGTGAACTGAATCCACCGTCTTACCCTCAAGCCATAGTCAATATGCACATTCTTCATTTAGTCAGCTTATTTTCCTGCAAAAATTTATTTGTATTGTCATGTAATATAAACTAGACCAAGCCAACCTCAAATAATTTAAAATTAGAATGCATAAATTCACTCCCTATAAGCTAGTTGGACTCAATCTCAGGAACTTGCTAGTCTACAAAGGGAATTAAGATAAAATATGCAACTATATGACATATTAATGCATCTTCAAGATATTTCAATGGCGAAGGCGAGAACACTTTGGGAAAGTGCAAACTTTGCCTAGCTTGCTGACCTTGATGTAATGAGGCTAACTGTGATGATTGTAAAAGTCTTTTAGGAAAGTGATACTATCCGATTGTAATAGATATCTCAGTTGGTTCGAGACTCGTGCTGATAACGTGTTAAGAAACTAAGCTCAAAGTAACAATACAAAACAATAAAATAGACAATATTGGGGAAAGAGAGGAGAGATTCTTATTTCTTCCATGCATTCAAGTGTGTACAATGTGATATGCAAACCCTCTATTTATAGGATGATATTTAGGCATTACAAAGGGATGCCATGAATATGATATTAACTATTGAGATCATGGGGGGGGGGGGGGGATCATGGAAGAGGTTATGGAGGTGTGGGGGTTACAACCATAATGATAAGAAGTAGTGGGAGGTTAATGGAGAAAAGTAGTGGGCGTAACTTCTTTAGGAGTTATAGACATCCACTATATAATATAATATTTCATAACAATTTATATTTTACCGTTAATTATATACTTTTACAGTCAGAGAAATATTAAGGCATATTTAAAAGTATAAGTTTTAAGGATTCTTTTGTATATGCCAAAAGTATTAGTTTTTTTTGTTAAATTTCACGTTAGATTAAATACCATCATATAAAATGAAATGAATAAAATAATAATTTAGAAAAATTATTGAAGTTTTCGGAAAACTTCATGACTATTTCATTTTGTTAAAAAAAAAAGGGTACAAGTCATTCAAAACGGGACGAGTTTTTGTTTCATAACTCCAATTGGAG